CGAAAGTAAGATAATTGCAGCTTGAATGTACCTGGGAAGCAGTGAATGCCTGGGCAGGCAATGAGGTGTTTATTACCCGGTAGGTGTTAACATAGAGTGTTGATATAGTTAAAAGGATATAAATAATTTGCTTTACAACATATTTTGACTGGACAGCAAGACAATTTAAAAAAAAAAAATCTAGCTATGTGTCAATAGTTTTCCACAGACAATGAACTTTTATTAGAGCTTGATTCTACATATATAACCAAAATATGAAAAACATTGCATAAGACACCTATCCCAAGAATCAAATAGGTCTTAACCACAGGCCTTGGGATCGCTTAAAAAAATGTGTGTAAAAAAAGATAAAGGTATGAAACTCTTAGACTGGGTACCCAGTTTCGCTAATAGAATATTTTTTAATCAAATGCTCTAAAATTTTACTTCCTATTTAATTCTATTCATAGATAAACAATCTTCATTTCTACCAAAGCTCATTCCGAAATTCCATATAGTTCTCAATCTATTCTGATATCAATTCCTAAGATGACCTACTTTTTTTTTACTCAAAGTTTGCTTGGGCCCCTGGTCATTCACATGTAAAAAAAATGGTGTTTGAAGTGCAGCGAAGAGTTGCATATTATTTGCAAAATCTTTCAACAATTTGAACTTAATTTCTTACTCCAGATTTTAAGGTTAAGTTTGTAATAATTCCTTTCGCAAGAAATTAAGGTAGGATTCTTCTCAAACAAAACTGTATTTAAAAATCAATTAAATTTTCACAGAATAAAGAAGGTAATATTACTAAGTGATGGTATCAATTAGATTAGTTTTGACCATTTTATTCAAGTTCAGGTCAAGGTCATTACCTTTTTCTTGGACATTAAGAATTAAAATGTTTTTCTTATTTTTTTTTTTTGTTTGGAAAATCATATTTATTTGATATATTTTAAAACTTTAGTCCCTTATTATTAATTTAGCTAACAATTGAAAAATTCTTCAAGTCTTTGATTTAGTAAAAATTACAACTATTAAATTCTTTCTATAATAATTTTGAGAGGCAGAAAAAAAGAGATTTTCATACATCACCATTCCGCATAAAAAATTATAGTCCCTGCTAGTTTTCGAACACAATTTACTATTTCTATTTAAAGTTTTACAATTGTGATGAGGAGAGAAAAATATGGTCTTTTTAATCTCTTTCACCTAAATATATAAGACATATAAGCAAAATACATTGAATATTTTATCTACTCAGAAACCAGAGAAGAATCCTACCTTTGAAAACATCTACAGTCAATTCTCGAATTATCGCCATTTGATTCATCGCCATTTTCGCGATACCGCCATGATTTCCCAGGAACGATTTTCCTGCTATATAAAATTCTCTTTATAACGCCAAATTCACATACCGCCATCCGCCACCCTGTTTTCACAACAAACGTCCATTTTTAAGTGTCAATTATCTCGATATACCGCCACAGGTGCATGTGGTCAGTGAAGTGCGGTTAATTGGTTGACGCTATCCCTGCTGTAAAGCATGCAAAAGCAGACAATTTCAAGGTACATGTAATTAAGTAATTAAACAAGAATTAAATAAACAGTAATTTTAACATGAACTGTTATAATAATTTTGTTTTTTGTTAAATAAAAATCATTTATTCATGGCTTCGCCACGAAAGCGGTTGTTTTAAAGTATGCCGATAACGATTAATCATTTCAATGATCTCTGCTTTAAACAATGCAAAGTTTGATGAAAAAATACTTATATGTTATAAATTCTGAACGTTTCATTAACAATGATGCCATAAACAATGAATTTATTCTAGAATTCATTTTACGTACTTTTGGCAATATATCACGACGGTCGACCCAGATGTTTTTTTTTCCAATATCAGATGTGCAGATTTACATGCATACACATGTACTTGTCTTTATTTCATAACTACACATTTTGTTCTAGCGAAATTGTACATTTAATAAAATTACTTGAAGTATTTTCAATCAGAAATATGTTTTAATATACATGTACATGTAATTATAATAATATAAACGCTAAATGGTATTTCTAATAACGGTAACTCTACTTCTTGTTTTCTAAAAGATGGGAAATTCAATTCATCGCCAAATTCGTTATACCGCCATGATTTATAAATTACAAAAGGTGGCGGTTTATCGACAATTAACTGTACATCAATAACTGCACCTCGATGTTGATTATGAATGTAAAAGAAGCTATGGTTGAACAAATTTTTCCCCAAATGTAGAACATACTTTTCGATTTTAAAAACAATTAGTGGGCTAAAATGTTGTTGGTGACTTAGTAAGTTCATATGATCAAAAAATTATAGAAAATCTTGTAAAGCTCAAATGCAAAAGAGCAAATATGCTGTGAGTATAGAATAAATTCAGGGGAAAATTTGTCCCGTCATTCCCCCATAACAATTAGTGTAGCTCTTCAAAGGCCCAAGCTGATGTCGAGTAAAAAAATTAAGCTCAATTCTGGAATTTATTTCAGAATATCTCAAGAAGTAGATGGAATTACAGAATGAACTTTGGTAGTAATGAAGATTGTTCGTTTATTAATTTATGAATAGATATGGATAGAAAGTAAAATTGTAAAGCATTTTATTCAAAAGAATTTTATTGGCAAAATAGGTACCCTATGAAAAGAGTTTCATACCTTTATTTTTTTTTAACACCTCAATCTTTTTTTCTAAGCGATCTAAAGGCCTGTGGTCTTAACAATTATGAAAAATCTGGACCCGACCAAGCTGTAGTATAGCCACACCCACTTTTTTACTATTCTGGTTTCATGTAATTATGAAATAAGAAGATATAAATATTGATACTTTAAGAAATTGTTTTATTTATTCAAAATATGATCATTGTAGTTGAAATCAAATGCATTACCTGTAAAATACCAGAAACGTTTATAACATACTAGAGTCAGAGGTCCTTCTATTGTACAAGTATGTCTCTAATATATTAGGGCTGTATCAATATATTGATACGTATCGATATTCAAGAAAAATATTGAATCGAAAAGTAACTTCCAATACGTATCGGACAGACATTTTTTCTTCAAATTCTGTTTAAAAGATGGGAATTTCAATCACCAAAGATTATATTTTACTTTTTTGAATTAAAACCTTCAATAATTGTATAATTTATAAGGAATTAACACAGTTTTTATAATTATTACAAAATACAAAGAGAAATTTTTTTGAACATGTTGATTTTACTGTCATCAAAAGTTTTAATTGAAGTGTTATTTTTAAAGACAATGAGACATGAACTTAAAAATGGGTAATAAAACACTTAATTGTTTTGAAATGTATGCATTTTAAAATATGATTTAGAAGCCTTTTCTGACGGACTTGTTTCAGAATCAAATATATCGCATATCGCTTTAAAAAATATTGTATCGTATCGTATCGAAATTTTTGGCTCAAGACACAGCCCTATAATATATGCATGGAAACATACAATGATTTATCAACATGTACTTCTGGTATCTATAATTATGGTAGAACATTGATAATCATAACTGAAAATTCCTGATTTTATTCAATTTCTATCTCTTGAACCCCTTGATCTCTCCAACTTTTCTTGTGGCCCCTTGAACTTCGAGAGATGGAGAGTCACCTGCATAATATTTGAATTTTTTAAAGTGTTACTTGGATTTTAGACTAAGGTTTGAAAGGTTGGTGAAGAGCGAAAGGAACTCACCTGTAATGGTCCAGGAAAATAGGGTCCTGGTCCTGAAGCAGCAGTTTGTTCTGCAAGAGAAGCAGTCTTCTGAGTTTTATCATGCCACATTTCCCCAGTGGGACCAAATCTTAGACTCATATCAATTCCTTGTGGAAGTTTTGGGTCCATTACATCAGACTGTGGTGAACTTCCTACACTGTTTGATTCTTCAGAGAAAGGAGATGAGCCAGTATCTTTAATGTACAAAACTTACTTTACTTTAGAGGTCTGTATTTGTTCAATTTATTGAAATGGCCATTTGAAAGACTGGTTGACACAAACCTAAAGCAAACATACATGCTGTAGCTACAGTACCTGCATCATAATTATTTACAGGCTATGACACAATACATTAGAATATATGCTTGATGCAATCGGATAGATGCATGATACAATACGATACACCCACCATACGATAGGATACACATGTGATAGAATAAATGCAAAATATGATAAATCCAAGAAACCAAGAGGAGTAAGAACAAATTAGGATTTACACAAAACACAATAAACCATCTTCACGATAGGATAAATGCAAAATCTGATAGGAATGTTTCAAAATAAAGAATGTTTTTTGAAAAGATAAATAGATTCTCTGTTTGATATCATAGTGCAACTGTATATTTGTTTTAATTTTAAAAACTGCAAATCTTTATGATAAGACATTATTAAAAAAATTATTGAACATCAGGTCTGAAGGAGTACTGTTTTATCCTTATTAGCCTGTCTGTCTGTCTGTTCATCCATAACAAATTTTTGTTAGCTTTGTAAGAATTTTTCAAAAGCCCCAATACTTAAGAAAATTAATGCATTTGGAGTATCCCGGCCAATAGTTTGGAAATTGGCCATGCTCTATAATAAGAGATCTATTTAAAGCTTATTCTGGTGGAAAATAATCGATTCAAGTTTAATTTTCTGTATAAAAAATAAATATGGAAACCAGTATCAATTGCAGAAAATGAAGAAACTGAATTATTAATACTGTAAAATGAGAAAATTTGGCGCATATGTATTTTAGCGCAATCACAAGTAGGAATGCATTGGCCCAGATAAATTTTAGCACTCGCACTTGTCATTAAAAAATATAAATGTGATATTATATTTTTTCATGTACTTCCGTATTTGACCTTTTTGTTTGTCAAGCATGGAAACACAATAGTACTCCTGTATATATAAGTAAACATTCGTCAACTTCACTGTGGTGTTGCAATCACATTGACGTGGCACAATGTTAAAATCTATTTTAATTTTATTTTAAATAAAAGAAATGGTGTATTTATGCATTTTATTCATTTTTAAACAATGCATGCATCGAACGAAAGTTTTTTGGATAAATGGTAATCATAATCAGGTATAGCCTGCAAGCTCAAATGCCATGCTTGATTGCATTGATTACCTTGAGGCGATAGATGATTGACATGCTGAGAAGCCAAACTTTGAAGGTGCTACTGATGTACATGTAGTAGTGCGCCAAATATTCTCGTTTGAAAGTACAGAAGATAATTGTGATCAAGTATTCATGATTAGTGTAATTCATATATGAAGGTGTGAAAACCTTCTTCCTTCAATTAATATTATTTCAAATTGTTTCTATGTGCGTACAGAAATGACCTTCCCATAAATGTAAGGATTCCTGGCATAGTACTAATTCCTAATCATCTCCCCTTGAAAGAGGGTGTAGCCCTTTATTTGAACAAACTTTAATCCCCAATCTCCCAAGGATACTTTGTGGAAAGTTTGGTTGAAATAGTTCCAGTGGTTCTTGAGAAGAAGTTGAAATGTGAAAAATTTATGACAACAATGACAGACAATGGACAAGTTTCAATCAGAAAAGCTCACTTGAGCCAAAGCCTCAAATGTACAGTTAATTCTCGATAAACCGCCACCTTTTGTAATTTAGAAATCATGGCGGTATAACGAATTTGGCGATGAATCGAATTTCCCATCTTTTTAGAAAACAAGAAGTGGAGTTACCGTTCTTAGAAATACCATTTAAGCGTTTCTATTCTTATAATAAAATGTACATGTATAAAGACATATTTTTGATTGAAAATACTTCCAGTATTTTTTTATGTACAATTTCACTAAAACAAAATGTGCAGTAATGAAATAAAGACAAGTCATGTGTATTTAATATTATGTAAATCTGCACTTCTGATATTGAAAAAAAACAAGCTGGGTCGATCGTTGTGATTTATTGCCGAAAGTACGTAAAATGAATTCTTGAATAAATTCATCGTTTATGGCATCATTGTTAATGAAACGTTCACAATTCATGCCGTTTAATTATTTTTTCAGCAAACTTTGCATTGATTAAAGCAGACATCATCAAAATAATATCATTATCTGCGCACTATAACAACGACCGCTTTCCTGGCGAAGCCGTGACTAAATGATTTTTATTAAACAAAAAACAAAATTATCATAACAGTTCATGTTAAAATTATTATTTATTTTATTCTTGTTTAATTACTTAATTGCATGTACCTTGTCTGCCTTTGCATGCTTTAAAACAGGGATAGCGTCAACTAATTGCAGCGCTTCACTGACCGTTTGAATCTGTGGCGGTATATCGAGATAAATGACACTTAAAAATCGACGTTTGTTTTGAAAACAGGGTGGCGGATGGCGGTATGCGAATTTGGCGTTATAAAGAGAATTTTATATAGCAGGAAAATCGTTCTTGGGAAATCATGGTGGTATTGCGAAAATGGCGATGAATCGAATGGCGATAATTTGAGAATTGACTGTACTAAAAAGACTTTTGAAAGTATGAGATCTCTTTAAATATACAAGACAACGAATTACCTACCTACCATTACCTTAGTACCCAGACTGAATATGATTGGTTGGAGAAGGGCAAATAAAACAAGCAATGTTTGTAAAACACTAATCTTTTCCAAATTGGAATTTTTTTAAGTCCAAGGGGCATAACTCTGTCAGAAATTATGCAATTGACCAAAAACAGAACTTGACCTACATTTTCATCTGATAAATCTGTATAATAAATTTCATTGCAGTACGGGCAGCCTCTGTGAAGAAAATGAACAAAAACTGCAAATAATTAGAATTTTTCTAAGGCCAAGGGGCATAACTCTGTTAAAAATGGCGTGATCATACCCAAAACAAAACTTGAGCTAGATATTCATCTGATAAATCAGTATACCAAACTCCATTTCGTATGTGCAACAGTTGTGAAGAAAATGAACATATGCCCTCCCTTCTTTGAAGGGAGGCATAAATATTTTTAATTTTATCCTGTTTCTTCAAAAAGTGACAAGCATAAGAAGAATCTTACTTTTGTTGTCTGCTGCTGACAGTGGTACAGACCAGGGTGAGCTACTGAACAGTGAGTATGTCCCTTGTTGAGTTGGCTGTAGTCCTGTTCTTCCTGCACAAGTCTCTACCTCTGGTCCAGGCATTGGGCTGCAGAGATATCAGTTATTTAAACATAAGATTTATATCTATTTGCTTGTAATGCAGAGAAATAAATCATTGGAATGTTAAAAACACACTCTTTTGTTTAGTCCAATGAGTATTAATCGTTTTGGAGTGGAGCTATTGGTACATTCCAGAGTTCTTACACGTGAAACCTTCTAAGGTACTGAAGCAATTCATACAAAAATTTTGACTCTGTTTTAACACTGCAATTTACTCCCTGTTCACACATAGACGCATCTTCTACTACAATCAAAGTGTGACCAAAAACGTGGCTGATCGTGATAAATCAGAGGAGAAACGTAGTGGAGTCTTCATAAGTGCAGTATGGTCATGGCAGGGTCTTCATGATTGGAGAGGTCTACTCTCTTGCCATGCTTATTTTGTTCATGCTCAAAACAAGCATAGCAGGATCTGGCCAAAAAGAATCCCGGTTAAGTCATAATAATAGCGTAGAAGAAGCGCCGTAATTGTACAAGCAGTGCGCAAACATAATGGAAAGTTCTTGGTGATCACAGTAAAAACTCGGTAAAAGCGTAGGAACTTATCAAGCACGCTCCTACAATGCCCCCACTACATTCTTATAACGTTCCCACTATGGTCTCTCTATGTTGCTGATGATCTAACAAAGACCTATAATGACCTTACGTCGTTCATACAATGACCTATAATGCAGCAGTTTGTTTTTATAGGGCTGATATTTGACCAATCATCATCTGTCAACTAGATGTAAAGAGTGACACTATACTTGACCATCATTTGAAATTGAGACTTTTAACTTTTCACATTTTGTAACAGTTACAATTGAAAATGCTCTATAAACCACATGATAAAGGCTGTGAAAATCTGCTGTTGCAAGATATATGTATCATCGCCAAAATTGTACTAGAAAAATCTGCAGTTGCAAGATATACATACATCAGTGCCAAAATCATAACAGAAGTGTAATACAATCGTAATATGATTGGCAACACCGTAGTGATATACGTACAGTCATCTAGGTCTGCGTAGCATAGTAGAATGATCTTGAATGTTGTAGCAGCAGCGTAAACCAGTAAACACCATGGCTGCAGGTCAGCAACGGTTCACATAACAACGTAGTAGAAGTGTGTTAGCAACACGTTTGACGTAGGGGCATCATAGAATGGTCATAATGAAGACCATCATTTGCCAAATTGTTGGATTTCTATATCCAGCAATTTGGCAAATGATGGTCCACCCCAATCCAAAACTTTTTCAGATCTTGGATTGCTGGGGATGATTGTTGTAATGTCGCAGCTCTGTGTGAACAGGGAGGGAGGGGGGGGGGGGTTATAAACCACAACATGAGGCTAATGGGCCTTATAGGTCACCTGAGCATCGTGCAACAACTTTCCAATGACTGAATTTGGTTCATGTTTAAAACAAGATGCAATGACATTCACAATTTTGAAAGAGGCACCATTGCTAATCATAAGTATGCACTTAGCAATTGCTTAGTTTGGTAACTTAATACCAATAGGCAGGGCAGGGGGACAAAAAATACATTTCAATTAATCAGTAATATTCAGCAATAATCATAGCTTAGTGCCTCAACCCGGCCTGTACCATACATGAACCCCTGACCCTAGGTCAACACATTTCACAATTTTGGAAAAGGCAACCTTGCTTATAAAAAATCTTTGATTAGTACCAAGGAGCAGATTTCAAACAATTAACTCATTTTCAGTAAATATGTAGAGCACCCCTCTATTGTTAACCCTGACCCAGGGGCCTTGAAATTCACAATTCGGGATATAGGGCCCTTGCTCATCATAGCCATATAGGTAGTTCATCTGCTTAATACCCAGGAGCAGAGAAAAAGATTTACAAGGAAATAATGCATTTTTCCAGACCAGAACCCCCACCATGGAGCCATAAAACTCACAACTTTGGAAGAGGCATTCTTGCTCATCATAACTATGTGCTTAGTTTGTTTAATACCCAGGAGCAGAGAAGAGGATTTTCAAATAATTAATGTATTTTCACTATATAATCAATAGATTATATAGTGAAAATACATTAATTATTTTAAAATATTTCTATATTTATAATTTTATTGCCCGAAGGTCAGGGGTTCTGGTGTTAGGGCAGGGCTCTATTGGGTCCATAAATTCACAATTTTTGAAGAAGCATTCTTGCTCATCATACTATGTACTTAGTAAGTTTGTTTAATATCCAGAGCAGACAAAAGGATTTTCAAATAATTAATGTATTTTCACTATATAATCAGTAGAGCCCTGCCCTAACACCAGAACCCCTGACCTTTGGGCAATAAAATTCACAATTTTTGAAGAGGCATTCTTGCTTATCATAACTATGTACTTAGTTAGTTTATTTAATTAATACCCAGGAGCAGAGAAGAAGATTTTCAAAGAAATAATGCATTTTCACTATATAATCTTTATAGCCCCAAAACATAACAGATGGATTGATGTACAGACAAACAGACAATCACATACTGATGCATAGACAGATGGATATCCCCATTACTATATACCCTCACACTTCTCAAACGGGAAATATAAAATTGTCTATGCTTATTTGCAAGTCTTGTTCAGCTTCAAGAACATTTAACAGTTTTAATCTTACCTTCTGTTTGGAGAATTTCCTGTTTCAGGTATAGGTGTTCCCTAAAAAAAAGAAAAGTCTATCAATTAGTGTTGTCAACCAGTATCCGATTAACCATTGAATGATGCAAATTTCTGTTAGTAAAATTACTATCCGATTACTCGGATAAAATACATTTCACATAAAAAATGCATAAAAATTATATGTTATAAATGTTGATGCATTTCCCTAATTTTAAATACCGTTGGACTTAATCTAGCTGGTTCTAGTGGATAGAAATGTTTAATTTGATAAGTTTTCACAGTTTGTATATGGTATAACAGGTATTTTTTGCAGTCGTCCAATTTAAGTGAAATTTTGCGGATAGGACAAATCAACAAAAATTACAATCTCAAAATATTTTTCAATATCTATAAGTTATTCTATACATGCCAGCATGATATGTTGTGTGTTATTTGGGATGCAAGGCTCTTATAGACAGGGTTCGAGGGCAAAATGCGTTTTGGCAGACTAAACTGTTTGCATGAGGCTGTTAGGTTGAAGGCAAATAGTTTTGTTCAAGGGGTCACAAAATGCATTTTTGTCCGAGAACAGATTCGATAAATGAATTGTTATAACTTTTACTGTTTATCATAATATTATCATGATGAAATTTTGTTCACTCCCACTGCAGTTTAAACTTGGTCAATTCCGTAAAGTTCCAACAGCTGATCCTGCCCACACTGTAAAATAAGCGGTGCAATATCTCATGGACAGGTCCAACATTTCACTCAGCGGTCAATCAGCAATTTATCTGACTGCACAGGAAAACAGTAGAAAGATAAATATTAATTTTTAACAAGCAAATTCAAAGAATTGTGGTCCCCCGCGTTCGGTGTCTTTTTGGGTGAGATGTCATTTTTTATGACATTTTGTGTCTAATATGAACGCCCTATCATAAGTCATCTATTTAGAAATTATCACTGAACTCCAAGGTCAAGGTCAAAGGGTTAACGTTCTTGGTATCCAATGAATACCCTTACAGAAAAAACTAATAGAAACTTATAAGTGTTTTATAATCCACTTATTAGCAACTTATAAGTCACTTATAAATTTTGAAATTTACTTTTAAGTGTACTATAAGTCAAAGTAAGTATAAGTGAGGAACGGATTTCGTTAATACTTCACTTATAAGTAAAGATGAGCTACATATCAGTGAATATTTCTCTTAAACCTCACTTATAAGTGAAGATCAGTATGGTATGAGCGAAGTATAAGTGTGGACTTAGAATTTTTACCCTATACTAGACATCTCTCAAGGAGCATTATGGGTATTCAAGGTAGCCAATCAGAAAGTTTGTCTCTGCAGAGATCAGCAACAAGAATTTGAAACCAAGTTTGTGTCTGTGAAAGGATGTTGGAGATTTTAGATTTATTTTGAGTATGCCTTCACATCATGTACAACAAGTAGGTTCTATTTACATCATCTCTCTATTTTAACTTCCTTTGCCTGAAATTTTGAATCAATTGACTCAGTTGCTTTCAGATTTCATAAATTTGAAGAAGCCTCAAGGTCATTAAATCTTGTTGCCTTTTTGTTCAACATTTTTGTTTGTAAACTGAATTAATATGTTAAGTTTGCATCATCAAAGAAATGTCATATGAAAGTGATTTTTTTCCATAAATTTTTTTACTTGATTATTTCATCTAAAGTGCAGATACATGTGTATATGTAAAAAAATAGCTTTGAACATATCATCCAACCCCTGCATGGTTGGAAGTTCTGTTCTAAATTAAGATCTTACAGGTAGTGTTGTACTTCACTTATAAGTCACTTATAGTCACTTATAAGTGACTAATACTTGATAAAGTATGAAGGGTTAATGCTTGACTTATAAGTCACTTATAGTCACTTATAAGTGACTATACTTGCATAAAGCATAAGTGGCTAATACTGGCTTAGAAGTCACTTATAGGTCAAGCAGCTCATTTGCATATAAAATCCTAATGAGTAACATATTAGTCACTTACAAGTTAAATGTATCAGTGAAGTCCAGAATAAACAACTTATAAGTAAAAGAATAAATCACTTATAAGTCACTTATCAGAAATTTCTGTAAGGGTAGTCTTCTCAAAAGAATTACATATGTGAAGTATGAAAGCCCTGGCCCTTACCATTCAAAAGTTATGGTCAAGGTTAAAGTTTTCTCATAAGTACAAAAAATCTCCAAGGTCAAGGTCAAAAGGTCAAGGTTGTTGGTATCAAATGAAAGGTCTTGCCACAAAGAACACATATGTGAAATATGAAAGTCCTGGTATCTACTGTTCAAAAGTTGTGGCCAAGGTCAAAGTTTTTGAAAAGTAGGTCAACCTCCAAGGTCAAGGTCCAAGTGGCAAAGTTCTTGGTATTCAATGAAAGGTCTTCTCATAAGATATATGAAGTATGAAAGCCCTAGCCCTTACCATTCAAAAGTTATGGACAAGATAAAAGTTTTTTCATAAGTACGGAAATCTCCAAGGTCAAGGGCAAAAGGTCAAACTTGTTGGTATCCAAGAAAAGGTCTTGCTACAAAGAATGCATATGTGAAATATGAAAGTCCTAGTACCTACCATTCAAAAGTTATGGCCAAAGTAAAAGTCTGGAAATTTTGTGTAAAAGTGGGTCAAACTCCAAGGTCAAGGTCAAAAGGTCAAATTTGGTGGTACCCAAAAAAAAAGGTCTTGTCACAAGTAATACAGATATGAAATATGAAAGTCATAGCTCCACTGAATCAAAAGTTATGGGCAAGGTTAAAGTTTTTGTGACGGACGGACACACTTATGGACAGACAAATGAGATTTAATGTCCCCTCGCTTTCGCGAAAGTGGGGACAAAAAGTCTGGATAAGTTTATCTTGTTGCATTTGAAAGATGAACATTTGCGTTTGATGTTTTAACTATTGGAATCCCTACACAAGTTGTAAATTGTGCAAATCATGCATGCCTTAACCACTTGATCAATGTAAATACGAAATCTGTCGAATAGCTTTGAAGTGTTTGAGAAAAAAACTAGACATATATGTTAGCTGTATACATGATTAAGACAAAAGTTAACTATTGCTACCTTCCATTGGCTATTTGTTTTTTGTAAATACAATTCTTACATATACGTGACGTGACCAACATCTCTTCTGACTCCGAAGAGGTGAAAATCTACTCCCCCTTACGCTTAAAATGACTCCCCCATACTTTTAAGCGACTCCCCCGCATTACGCCTTGTAATAAGAAACAGTAAAATAACTAGATGCGATCTAGTTGCAAGCAACGAGTAGGTCTTCCGTCCGATATCTGATGGAATAAGACCTGTGTTGGGATAATTCCATTGATAGGATAAAAAATGTCAAAAAGGCACAAGAATTCTTCTAAATATGTTTAGAAACACAAAAAAAGTAGGATCCATCAATTCCAATCAACTTCCGGTTCTACTTATTCACTTCTGGTGCGACCGTATGTGCTCAAATCTACTTCAACTCTACATCAAGCAAGTAGTAATCATGCCTGAAAGTTTCGATGAAAAATACTCATTTTTAGACAACTTCCGGTTTGAACAAACAGTACTTCCGGTGGAAATATTAAGATGCTATGCATTCTTTAAATCTCTATAATGAACAATTACATTCATTAGAAAATGAAAAAAAAATCGCTATATGTATTTAAACTACATGTATTTCCGGTTTACACCGGAATTAAGTGTCGATGGAAAAAATGAAAAATGAAAAAAATAAAGTATACATATTGTTGGGAACATTATTTTGATCATTTTTTGTTCAATATTGCTTATCAAAATATTCAAGCTTTTCAAGATATAAAGCGTCAAAGAATTAAGATTCTAGCCCCCTGTGACCCTTTTTACGTAACATATGATCAAATTTTTAGTATATATTGTTGCAAATCGTTAAGTTGAATATCTTTGCTTCAGTAATGTATCACAAAATATTGATAATTAAAGAGTTAAAGACGAGAGACTTTTGGCCCCTTTATGCCCCTTATTTGAAGGGCTAACCCCATTTTCTTGATATCAAATGAAAGGTCTTACTAAATTGCACATCTTTTATTATATATGTCTTAACAAAATATTCACAAGTAAAAGATATAAAAAAAACGTATCAATTTTTGCGAGATGCGTAGGAGCCTATTTTTCGAGCCCAGGCGAGCGTCGATGCCTTTTAACCTGGAAAGGTCTATATGCAAAATGTCACATCTACTATCCTTCCTCTACCTTCACTGAAAATCTCAAGTCGATATCTCAAGTCATTTAGGAGGAGATCTCAGGAAAAGCCAACCCTCTTAAAATCAGAAAATCATCCATATCTCACGACCGGAAGTGACGTCATAAACGACGAAAATTTCCGACAAGGTTCAGATGAATATCTATCAGATCTGAAAGTTTGGTGAAAATCGGCTAGCCGTTTTCGAGAAATCGTGTGCACAAAATCAGTAAGAAAAATAATAATAATAATAATAATAGGGAAAAAGAAACCGAACGAAAACAATAAGGTCTTCCATTGGAGACGGAAGACCTTAATAATAGGGAAAAAGAAACCGAACGAAAACAATAAGGTCTTCCGTTAGAGACGGAAGACCTTAAGGTCAAGATCTAGTAAATAACTTGAGACAATTTTTTTGGTGCTAGATCCATTATGACGTCATAATCAATTTCAACTTTCTTTTTCCCGTACTTTACGGCTTTAGTAGAACTATGTAGAAAGTAGGGTATTTTCATGTCATTCAATTTGAAATTATATGAAAAGTAAACCGGATACCTACATTAGATTTGATATTGATTTAAAGAGGAGGCCATGAACATACTAATTACCGTTTTCTGAGAGACTGTAGGCAATCTGGATACATTTCCTTTGCCGAATACGAAAAAAAACTCCCATATTCATGACTGGTTTTCTTAATTTTTCATTGAAAATGACAGTTTAAAGTACAGTTTTTCATCTTGTTTACCTACAAATTTTGCCCCGAAACACCTTATTTGACCAAGCTAAAGTTGTAAAGCATCAATAAAGGAATTTATTTCTCAAGTTTGATAAATCTGTAGGCACCTTTCATTTACTAGATCTTGACCTTAACAAGAGGAGATCTCGTTGCGAGCAACGAGTAGGTCTTCCGTTCGATTTTTGATACGATCATAAAACAACTTTAAATGAAAAAAAATGTTCATATCAATTCCTCAAAATACGTGAGAACACATTTAAGAGTGAAATCTGTAAATTTCAGACAAATTCTGGTCTTTATAATTCACTTCCAGTGTGACCGGAAGTACTTAAAATGACCTATAACTCCTGTCTGAGTGTGAAGGAATCATCCCTGATAATTTCGATGAAAAATGCTCATTTTTTGGACTACTTCCGGATTGGAAAAAATAACTTCTGGTGGACATAATATTACTCGAAACACTCTATTTGCTTCCATAAGAAATATCTAAAAAAGAAAAAAATAAAATTTTGCATATTTTTAAACTACTTCCGGTGGACAACGGACGTAACGGCAACTAAAACTTTATACAAAATTCAGTAGAGCCTGTCACAATCTATCATCCCTTAAAGTTTCAAGACTCAATCTCTAACCGTTTTTGAGAACACTACCGGACAAAATGACCCTTTAAAAAAACAAAAATGGCCGTATCTCGCGACCGGAAGTGAGGACGGCAAAATAAAAAAAAAACGCCTTAAGTTCATATGATTTGCCATCATTGCTGAAAGTTTCATGAAAATCTATCGAGGCGTTCTCCAGAAATCGCCTGCACAAAATCGGTAACAAAAAAAAAAAAAATAATAATAGTGGAAAAGAAACAACAGAATCAGTAGAAGGTCTTCCGTTGGAAACGGAAGACCTTAATAACTACAGGAGGCCCATGGGCCAAATTGCTCACCTGAGCACTGTAGCTTGGAAAAAAGCAGAAATCAGTTTATTATTGAAAAGTTTAAACCCAAAAGTGATCCCAACCAATCCACAAAGGGGAGAGGGTATGATTTGATAAACTTGAATCTACACTAACTAAGGATGCATGCATATTTCTTTGACTACCTGTGGCTTTATTGCCCTCTACATTGAACTTACATTGTGGTCCCGCCCTACCCCCAGGGGTCATGACTTGAACAAACTTGAATATACACTCAGAATGCTTCCATATGAATATGACTACCAGTAATCATGGCTTTGCCATTCTTGAAAAGAAGACTTTTATAATTTTTCTTCATATTTCTTTGTAAAACTTTGATCGGCCATTGTGGCTCGGCCCTACCCCTGGGGGTCATGATTTGAACAAACTTGAATCTACACTACCTGAGGATGCTTCCATATAAATATGATCATTCAGGCCTTTGCTATTCTTGAGAAGAAGATTTTTAAAGAATTTCCCTATATATTTCTATGTAAAAATTTGATCGGCCATTGTGGCCACGCCCTACTTCCAGGGGTCATGATTTGAACAAACCTGAATCAACGCTACATGAGGATGCTTCCCTATAAGCTTCAAGTTTCCTGGCACAGTGGTTCTTGAGAAGAAGATTTTTAAAACATACCACGAAATTTTCACTCTTTCTGAATTATCACCCCTTAAAAAGGGAGTGGCCTTTCATTTGAACAAACTTGAATCCCCTTCACCTAAGGATACTTTGTGGCAAGTTTGGTTGAAATTGGCCCAGTGGTTCTTGAGAAGAAGATGAAAATGTAGAAAGTTTACAACGACGACGATGCCAACAACAACGACCACAGACGACGGACAAAGAACGAGTGCACTTATGGGCCTCAGTAAAATGTGACCAGAAGTCTCTATCGAGACTGTAGCTCTACTGGTTTGTACTTATAACAAAGGATGAGAAAAGAAGCCATTGCCATCAGACCAAAACTGCAGAAAGAGTAGCGTTTTAAAGGAATTTCACAGACATTTCTATTTTTAGTAACAATGGCAACACTGTTCATCGAAATCAAAAACCGATGCACTATGTTATGTATCTTAGTGTAGTCTACTTGTGTGCCAAGTTATATTGAAATCAGACCAAAATTGTAGGAGGAGTAGCGTTTTACAGGAATTTCACAGAAAATACTATTTTTAGTAACCATGGCAACACCGTTCATCGAAATCAAAAACCGATGCACTATTCTATGTATCTTAGTGTAGTCTACTTGTGTGAAGTTATATTGAAATCAGATCAAAACTGTAGAAAGAGTAGCGTTTTAAAGGAATTTCACAGAAAATTCTATTTTTAGTAACCATGGCAACACTGTTCATCGAAATCAAAAACCAATGCACTATTCTATGTATCTTAGTGTAGTCTACCAGTGTGCCAAGTTATATTGAAATCAGATCAAAACTGTAGAAAGAGTAGCGTTTTAAAGAAATTTCACATAAAATTCTATTTTTAGTAACCATGGCAACACCCGTCATCGAAATCAAAATTGGATGCACTATTCTATGTATCTTAGTGTAGTCTACTTGTGTGCCAAGTTATATTAAAATCAGACCAAAACTGTAGGAGGAGTAGCGTTTTGAAAAAAATTGTTTACAGACAGACGGACAGACAGACAGCTGGACGGACAGACAGACGGACGCCGGACAAAATGTGATCAGAAAAGCTCACTTGAGCTTTCAGCTAAGGTGAGCTAAAAACTGAAGTTGGTAATATGGCTGTAGATATTATTTCTTGAAACAAATTAACCCCTTTTGATTAAAGAATGGTCCTCCCTTAATTATGCCATATTATTCAAATCATTATTATTATTGTCTGTTTTATGTTCCTTTTGTGAATAAATGTTCAGTAAGAATGTTTACATGTATTAAGATGCCATCATAGATAAGATGTCACTTAAAATCTTTTCAAAAACATCAAATTTTAAAGCAAAAACTGCACTTAATTTGGACAATACAAACTTACTTGAATAGCCAGCTGTGAAAGTGCTCCAAGCAATTCTGGAGGAACAAAAGGAAAATCCTCTTTCTTTCCAGACTGTTCCTTTGAACTTTGCATGATTGGAGGTCTCACATTCATCCTCCCCATCCCAGCATTCAGTAACTGATTTAACAAGTGAAATTGTGAGGCAGAATTTTGTAATTGGGTTGGCACTGGCTGAGGGTTCGTTCCACCACAAGGTGACCGTTCACTTCCTCCAAATGGAGGTCTCTCATTTCTAGGTGTCATTTGCTGAAAGCTTGGTGGTGGAGGATTTGGAAACATATTTCTAATTCCTCCATGCAATTGATTCCCAATATTTCCTGAATGTTGACTGTTCTGGGGTTTTTGCTGATTTGGGTTGTTTGAAAAATTAGCCATCTGGGATGCCAGTTGAGGATTTACAAGAGTTGAATTTTGCTGTAAAGCATTGTCTCCCAAAGGCTTTTGTTGATTTTTTTCAGAGTGCTGGTGACCAGAGGTTTGATGTGATGAACCAGGTCTCACATCTATTTCTAAGTTAGACATGCTTATCGTCTGGGGAATTGGGGGTGGTGGAACATCAAATGACACCGAAGAGAACTGCTTACTGTTTGGTGGAAATGGAGGGGGAGGGAATCTAAACATTGCATTGGTGGTAGTATTTCCTGAAAGTGTGTTGCTCTGACTAAGTATTGGATTCCTTGCATTTATTGATGTATTCTGGGGTGTTAATGAGGATGGATTAGATATTCCTGGAAATCTACATGAAGAGGCCAACCTAAAATTATAGAGAGTCATGATGAACAAAATTCTTCTTTGCTATTTCTTTCAATAAAGAGCTTGGTTCACTTTATGCATAAAATGACCCTGTATACGAGGGCCGTTCAAAAATTACACAGACTGTGCTATTATTTACTCTTACAGATGTCAAATAGTTATGAAATTTCACAGATATATGTATCTTAAAGATTCCAATAAATATTGGGCAAAATTTCTGTATTTTAAAAAAATTCTACTAAAATTATCGGTATGTTGATATCGCTGTTGGAGAGGTACGGAGCAGGACAAAAAATTTGAAGCAAAAGCATGCGGAATCCAAAATTTAACTCATTAATTTCTATAATTCGCGATATTTTTCGACAACTTTCTCAAATGTATCTTTAAATTGTTCTGTTATTATGTATTTAGATTTCTGACGTGATATTTGAAGTACTAACAGAAATATAGTGATTTTTCTCTGATGCGATTGATCATTCGCATGAAAACGACAGTGAAAATGACGTATCCTGAATTGACGGCGCACCACACTTTTGTTAAATTATGTGTAATGCTCGAGATATCACCAGCATAGATCCAAAATATGCATAATAAAACATGTAGTAAATTAGGGTATTCGTGAAATACGTCCACAAATAGCAAATTAAAATTTTAGACCGTTAGACCTCTGTAAAAAGGCTATACGGGAGGATGGGAAGAAGATTATTGACAAAAAACTATATCCGGACTGTAAAGAACGTGATTGAGAGTCACCAATATCACACTATATCTCATAAATACCTGCAGTGTTTGGCTTTAAAACAAAAAAAGGAATATTCTTTACTTGTTTAATAGATTTTAAGCTTGACAAGAAATGGTGTTTGGATGTTGAGTGAATAAGATAACTCAAACTGTACAGGTACTCTTGGGAAAATGTTGAGAAAATGAAAGCTCAATCACATATTTTTTTATAATGCCTGTGACGTCGAAGATTTTACTGCTCCGTGACTTAACGATATGTCCTGAAAAATCACTCAAAAGTGATAGAAATTTACAACATTTTGACATGAAATTTTGAAGACCATACAAGTAAAGGTTCTTTTATATTATGTGTGACATTTTGCCCGATTATGTCGTCAAATATTTTTTCTGTGCAACAAGTCAACGTAATTTTTGAACGGCCCTCGTATATACTAATTGATTGATTAAAACTTGATGTTCCATTTGAAGCATTAAAATAAAATAGAGACTCAGTACTTTCATTTCCTATTAAAGAATTTCTCCTAAATTTCCAGGTCTTGGAGAACTGGCTTTATGAAATTACAATATTCTTAAATTTAAAGGTACACAGGATAATTGAGTATGAGACTGATGTCACATGATGTCGTATGTATGTTGCATTACCAAACTGAAGCCTAAAGAGAGCTGATTTAAATAACAAGAGGCTCATGGGCCACATCGCTCACCTGAGTAAATTTTGTGATGCAGTTCTTTACCAGATTTTCCCTCTTCTTATATCTATTGTGGCCCTTTCCCCCCCCCCCCCCCCCCCCCCCCCCCCCCCCCCCCCCCCCCCCCCCGTCTTGATTTTAATAATATAGAATCTACACTACCCCAGGATGCTTCCACCTAAGTTTCAGCTTTCCTGGCCCACTGGTTCTTCAGAAGGAGATTTTTCCTATATATTTCTATATAAAAATCGGATTCCCTATTGTGGCCCCGCCCTACCTCGGGGGTCATATAAAATGTACACTACCCCAGGATGATTTCACATATGTTTCAGCTATCCTCGCCCACTGGTTCTTAAGAAGAAGATTTTTAAAGATTATTCCTATGTATTTCTATGTTAAACTTGGATTTCCTACTGTGGTCCCGCCCTACCCTGGAGGTCAGGATTTTAACAATTAAGATTCTACACTACCCCAAGATGCTTTCATAAAAGTTTCAGCTTTTCTGGCTAAATGGTTCTTGAGAAGAAGATTTTTCCTATATATTTCTATGTAAAACTTGGATTTCCTATTGTGGCCTCGCCCTACCCCCGGGGGTCATGATTTTTACAATTTAGATTCTTCACTACACCAGGATGCTTCCACATATGCTTCAGCTTTTCTGGCCCAGTAGTTCTTGAGAAGAAGATTTTAAAAGATTTTTCCTATATATTTCTATGTAAAACTTGGATTTCCTATTGTGGCCCTGTCCTACCCCCGCGGGTCATGATTTTAACAATTTAGAATCTATACTACCCCAGGATGCTTTCACATTAGCTTCAGCTCTCCTGGCTCAGTGGTTCTTGAGAAGAAGATTTTTTAATGATCCCACCCTATTTTCGTCTTTTCTTGATTATCTCCCCTTGGAAGGAAACCTGGCCCTTTATTTTAATAATTTAAACTCCCCATCCCCCAAGGATGCTTTGTACCAAGTTTGGTTAAAATTGGCCCAGTGGTTCTTGAGAAGAAGTTGAAAATGTGAAAAGTTTACAGACGGACGGACGGACGGACTACAGACAAAATGTTATCAGAAAAGCTCACTTGAGCCTTCGGCTCAGGTGAGCTAAAAAACCGTTTTATTGACTATTTTGTGTACAATGTATTTATCAAATCAAGGCAAATTAACTATTTCTTAAATATTTGTTTGCTATTCTTGCAAAGATGCAGCTTTACGAAGTGATGCATTGTGGGTCCAAAGTTACTGCTGAAATTTTTTTTTGCCCAGGTGTTTTTGTTAAAGCTGCCCTCGTTAAAATTGTAAAAGTTCTTCTGGTCTCTGACAAGTAGAGTTTTTACTTGTTTTTGGTAAATTAAATTGCTACTTGACACTTTTTCCACAGTTAAATGGTTTCAATTTGAAATCCTAAGGTTCTCAAAAATGATTCTATTATCTGTCAACATCTTTTCCTTTCTTTATTTCCTTGAGTAATATCCATTTGTGAAGGTAAATGTCTGTACCTGTGGCAAATATTGCCTTCTGCTCACCTAAGAATCAGAATTAAGCTCAGTTTGATCTGGTTATGTGTAAATGAATCAGTACTGCTAAAATGGCAAATGGTCAGCATTGTGACTGGAGTGATATAAAAATTTATAAATACCTGTCTTTAGATATTATTCCCTCTATTAAAATTACCTGAAATCAGAATTCATATTCAGAAAAACATTTTGCGTTTTCTTTTCAAGAAGCTGTGGCTTTTGACTGTTTGTTGTTTCCTGAACTGGTTGTTGTCCTTCTTTACCAGGGCTGGCATCATTTTGTGTTGTCTGAGGGGAAGAGTTGTTGTCACACTTTGATGCATTTTGTTCTTGCTGTTTTTGGACAGAATATGGCCACAACAATTTTTGCTGTTGTTGTGGAGTAACTGCTACCTGTTTGCTAAGTATTTGTGGTGTTACATTCTCCTGCCATAAACTTGGCTGGGTTGACCCCTGTTGGGCCATTATCTGTTTCTGCAGTCTTGGTGGTTGTTGTGTTACAGGAATTCTTGAACTCTGAGTTCCAGGTCGCATGCTACTTGAGACACCACTGCTGGTGCCCTTCATGAACAAAGGTTCAGTTGTTGGAACTCCCAGCAGATACTTTGGAGAATTCAGGCCTGAAGCTGCAGTCAAGACAGTTGTTTTTACAGGCTCAGCACTTATAAGTGGAGGTTTTGCCTAGAAGTAAAAATGGAAATACTTACTTTGGAAATGAATTTAAAATCTACTTATCAATTATAAAGATAAGCTCAGAGAAAATATTTGTACTTTTTCACATGTACATGCTAAAAATGAAGTTCTTTGATTTTGAGTAAAAAAGCCCAACAATGGTTAAAATTTTTAACTTTGCAATAAAATTGGAAGACATACAATTTGTCAACTTATTGTGGCAGAGTCATATTTATTTAAAATATTTTTTTATCTTTACTGAAAACTTACTGAGCCATGATTTACTTTATGCCATATTTGCTAGTTTTCTCCATTCATGAATTCTTCTCACAAAATTTCATTGGCCAGTAAATTTGCACCCCTTTTTTAACCGGTTTTTCTGCTATATACATGTATACTGAGGCATGGGCCCATCCCTGTCAGTGCAGGAAATTTAAATATACATTCAAGAGGGCAGTACACATATGGCAAGAAAACAATAAGGTTGATTGATTGTATATTATTTAACGTCCCTCTCCAGATTTTACACTCATTATCTTCATATGTTTTAAGGAGACACCACGACTTGTTAGTGGAGAGCTGCAAAATTTGTCCTATGCTCGGTACTCAGGGCCATTGAGCAGTGAGGGATCTTTTTCGTGCCAGCACTTACTGCAACATGGGGCCTCGGTTTATATGGTCTCATCCAAAGAACCGGTTTCTTTTCCCACAGTGGGATTCAAACCCGCGATGTAAGGATCTAACTCCTTACTTTGTGACTGTAGAGCAGACAAAAAAAACAAAAATCTATCCATTTTTGGAAAGGATAAAATGCATGTGGTCCCGATTGGGGTCGATGGGTTATGATTTGAATTAACTTGAATCTACAATGCAGTGGTTGCAACGTTATTGTTGACAAGTTACACGAATGATCACTTTAAACGAACAATTCTGCACAATTAACGCACAAATAAACCTGTTACACGAACGATCCTTCATGCACACGATTCTACACTTACACAATCTTACATGATTGCTAACGCAAACTCACAATTCTTCATTCAAAATAGCTCAAAATATTTAGGAATCAATATTTTCAAAACGAAATACGGCTTAATGTGTTTTAATTAAATACTGATTTAAGATTTCAAAGGATTATCAATATTATTTAATTTATAGACTTTGATTTTCTTTTAACCCAGAAATGGATATTTCTGTAACTAAATACATGTAAGCTTTAATTATTATTTCAGATTATAAATAATTGTTTAGGTAATTCTCTGACCTAAGAAAACTGATTTTTTTCATACAAAAGATGTACATGTTCGTGGACCGTAAAGTTTGATTGAATTGGTTTTCATAATATGCAGAAAGGGGGATACGATTTAAAAAAAATGTCAGTATGGAATGACTTATATTACAAGTTGTATCCTTACATGTATGTTTCCAATCTCTATAAAAAACGAACTTTCCAATTATTTACCTTTTTTTATTTGCAGAAATCTTAAAAATAATAAGATGTAAGCTCCAGAGTGTATGTGAAAAAAATATTTATTTTTGATGTACATGTATTGATTTTAAAAATATTTTGACCACAAATAGCAGTAAACAAGAACAAAAGTCAGAGAAAAAAAAAGTTAAACATCTAAGATCGGTTTATCGCAATATATGTCGCACTCTTTGAAGTGTATGACTTACTATATTGCTTGTTTACGAGTGGTAATTAATTTGTTCTGCATTCAATTATGTAAATTGCGCTTCATTCATTTTATTTGGATTTAAATTAAAAACAAGCAAAATTAAACGAATAACATTTCGATAAAAACTTAAAAAACGAAATTTACACGTTTCTAAATGCATGATTAAAACCGCAAATTATTGAGTCTGATACACGCACGATCTCATTCATTACACGAACAATCATGATACATGAAGGATTCTACACAACAGGTTTGTCAACAATAACGTTGCAGCCACTGTACTAGGAATGCTTACATATTTCTTTGACTTACTGTGGAATTTTTCCCTACAAGTTTGAACTTTCACCTTGGCCCCACCCTACCCCCGGGGGTCATAATTTGAACAAATTTGAATCTACACACCTAAGGATGCTTCCACATAAATATGAGCAAGCATGGCTTTGTTGTTCTTGATGAGAAGAAGATTTTTAAAGATTTTTCCTATATATTCCTATGTAAAACTTTGATTGTCCATTGTGGCCCCATACTACCCATGAGGGTCATGTTTGAACAAATTTCAATCTACAGTACCTGAGGATGCTTCCATATAAATATGAGCAAGCATGGCTTTGTTGTTCTTGAGAATAAGATTTTTAAAGAATGTTAATTCCTATATATTTCTATGTAAAACTTTGATCGTCCAAAATGTGAAAAGTTTACAAACGGACGAACAGATGGAAAGACGGCAGGCAATGGGTGATCAGAAAAGCTTACTTAAGCTTTCTGCTCAGGTAAGCTAAAAAAATACCCACTCTTTCTTGTACTTTAGATGGAGCAACTGTAAGATTTTTCTCTGTAGCTTGAGTTTGACCTTTCTTTTGAATTATTGCCTGCAACATCCAATAAAAATATGGGTATCAGTCAGCAAACATATTGCTTCATATACTGTAATTTTATGTCATAATTTTTCATATATTAAATTAGAAGTCATACCTGTATAGCAATATTTTGTCGAACTGGTTTCCTTTCTACAAACAGCACTTCACTGTCCACTGAAATCAGAGATTTTTAATTGCTATGATTAAATACAGTCATTTTTCATTGTTAGAAATTGGCACTTCTGTTGCTTTCAATTTCTATGCTTGGTATTGAGGACATTTTGGGTTTACTGCATGTTTGACAGGTTGGGGGGAAACGTAAATTCCGCTATAATAGTGGTATATCATTATTATAGTGAAATTCCGCAATATTTTCAGCCGTATTAACCCTCGATATCATCAAATAACATGCTTGCTGTTCAAAAAGCAATTCATGATGGGTATAAAAATGGACACTAATTGGCACCCTTACATATTATGAATTTTATTTAATTTTCTGCCGATGCGTTTAATAATGCGAACACACTTTGTAAAATGGAAGTTGCATTTTTAACATAGCAACCAGCGATTGTGACAGTATTCAAGAAAGACTGAATTCCAATTTTTTTCACACATGTGCAGAAATTAATGCTTGTAATAATTTAAAACCTGCATTGAAAGAGGTTCGTCAAATTTACAGTAGAAAAGACAATCTTTGTCTGCATGGTTACGGGTATGGAGGCCCATTATGACAAATGCTAAAAAGCTCATTTCATGTAAACTTTATTTTGGTAGAAACGATATGCAAATCAGCAGATGTTTGAAAGGTGTTATTCAATCATTTTTAAAGCTACAGATCTCACCCGACAATGGTAGGAAAAATGTAGTTATTAGAGAGTTTAAGCATTTGACTGTGTACATCTACTTGTACGTGTAAATCTAGAAGTGATTTTATAAGTTCATGTAACTATCGTCGTGTTCTGTTTAACAAACTGCATGTGTACTGGTACGTGTAAAATGTCATTTCAGCAAGGCACTTGACAATCCATTTGTATCAAATAAATCTATGACTTGAAAGAAAAACAAGAGGTCCATGGGCCTTATAGGTCACATGAGTATCATGCAACAACTTTCCAACAATTGAATTTGATTCATGTTTTAATCTAGAAGCCATGAAATTCACAATTTTGAAAGAGGCACCATTGCTTATCATAATTATGCACTCAGCATACTTACTTTGGTTAGTAATACCCATAGGTACATGTAGATCACAGTAACAAAGAGAAAATACATTTCCACTTTATCATTATCAGTTGTGCACCCCATCCCACAGGAACCACTGACCCTGGGGCCACATCTTTCAAAATTTTGGAAATTTTATAAATTTTATTTCACCATGTTGTTGATTAATACCAAAGTGCAGATTTCAAAGCATTAAATCATTTTCAGACCCCCCCCCCCCCCCCCCCCCCCCACCTTAGTATCTCTGTCCCAGTGGCCAGGAAATTAAGCATTTTTGGAAGAAGCAGCATTCTTCGTATAAATATATACTAAGATCATTGCCATAATACCCAGGATCAAAGGAAAAGATTTTCAAAGAATTTATGCATTTTCACTATATAAACATTAGAGCCCCGCCCTAACACAAGAAGCCCTAATACAGGGGTCCTGAAATTCACAAATCTCAAAGAGGCATGCTTCCTCCTCATAACTATGTACATAGTTCATTGGTTTAATACCCAAGTGCAGAAAAGAAGATTTTTAAAGAGTTAAACTTTATGCATTTTTACTATATAAACAATAGAGCCCCACCCTAACACCAGAAACCCTGACCCTGGGGCCATAAAATTCACAATCGTGGAAGAGTCACTCTTACATATCATAACTATGTACTTAGTTAGTTTATTTAATACCCAGGAGCAGAGAAGAAGATTTTCAAAGAAATAATGCATTTTCACTATATAATAAAATTCACAATTTTAGAAGAGGCAGCCTCATTCACCATAACACAGGAACCCATTTTCACTATATAGTCTATATAGCCCTGGGGCCATAAGATTCACAATTTTAGAAGAGGCAGCCTTATTCACCATAACTATGCACTTGGTTAGTTTATTTAATGCCCACAAACAGAAAAGAAGAATATCAAAGAATTATTGCAATTTCACTATAATAACCTATATGGCCCCGCCCCAGCACTAGAACCACTGACCCTGGGGTATTTAAATTCAAAATTTTGGAAGAGGCAGTCATTTTCAACTCAACTATGCACTTGATTAATTTATTTAATGCCCAGGAGCAGAAAAGAAGAATTTCAAAGAAATAATGCATTTTCACTATAACCTATTTAGCCCCGCCCTAGCACTAGAACCCCTGACCCTGGGGTCATGAATTTCACAATTTTGTTAGAAAACTTAATGCTGATTACAATCATACCAACAGTTTGACTGCTTGATGTCCAGGAATAAAGAAGATTTTTAAAGATTGCACTAATTTTAGTGGTTTTTGCCCCCACCCTCCAGGCCCCAGGGGGGCAGGGACCATGAAATTCACAATCTTTGTTCCCCTTCACCTATAGATGCAATATGCCAAATTTTTATAGTTTACTTATTAAAGATGTTAATGGTAACCTAACAACCAAGCTGTATGATAAACGTGATGACTTTAACTTTTCTATCGTTAACTTCCCTTATGCAGCAATATACCTTCATCACCTGCATATGGAGTGTATACATCTCAGTTGATTTGATATGCAAGAGCATGCTCTACGTATGAAAAAATTTCTAGAACAAGGTAAATATTGACAAGCAAGTTGATGAAACAAGAATATCAGCAGTCTCGTTCAAAGTCATCATTTTATGAGTTCTATGGTTGATACGATGACCTTATCAGCAAATACAATTTATCATCGAGTCAAATGCTGACTGACGTTTTTCATACTAATTGTTAGTCCATTATTTATACATTGAATTGACGACAGATTTTTCCATTATTTCCCGATCATGACAAGAAGCACACGGCAAGTGTGACCGGTCAGCAGGAGATGCTCGCTCCTCCATGGCACCTGATCCCACCTCTGATGTTTCGGAGGTCCATGTTTGCTCTGCTCCTATTTTGTATTGTTTTATGGACTTTGAGATTGAATTCTGTTAGTTATCTTCATATCCTTCTATTTGGACATTTTGAAAAAGCCTTTTCTGCAGTGTTACTGGCAGATTTGGCAGGAGCGATTGGGAATTAGAGAGGTCTGGACCCCTCGGATTTTCGGTAATGAATTTTATACAGTAAAACAATCAAGAAATAACTTTAGACCTCCTTGCAGGAGTTATGGACTTCAAGTAGAAGTGTTATATACATATTTGAAACAGTTTATCAACAAGAAATGTCCATTAACCATCCCCCCTCCACACACACATGAAAAATAGGTATTTTGCATATGGATGACCTATTTTTTAGTGGACATCCCCCCCCTCCCATTTAGAAAAATATTCTGGAACTTGAAAATGTTTTGATGGACTCATTCATGTCTAATGTGTAAAAATCACATTAGCTTGCACACTGTATAAATGGAAAATTTAAATAGAAAATTCTTTAACAAGTTTATACATTTAATAACTCAGCACATTTCAGGGAGGGGATCCGGACTCAAACCCCCCTCTAGATCCATGCACAGAGAGGTGTCAAGGGAATAGAATCCGAAAGCTTTTTCAGTTCTATAAGGTTGTGTAAAGACCAGGCACATAGTATTGGAGAGGGGATCCCTCTTACCGCTTTTCCTGAACATAATATTTTACTGTAATTTAGTAACTAAGCCATCATAATTATGGATTGAAAAATGTCTTGTGAAAATTGAAAAGCAAAAATCATACTCCCTTGGGTATATCAAAGTGTCAATTAATTTTCTGGGTGCTCCTTTAAAACATGATGCTGCATGCATGAAGACTAGACTAGACTAAACCAACAAAAAAATGCTTCAAAAACTTCTTGGATGTGTTTGGCTCTGTAGAATCATCTGATTAATGTGAAAAAACTCAATGAAGGGTCAAAGAGGAGGACCCCCCCCCCTTCCTAATCATGTGTTAGTCTTAAATCTGATGAAATATTATAAATTGTTTAAGGGGGCCGACTATAGTTTCCATTGCGCAATATTTCGCGCATCATAGTAAAATGAAGTGTATTTACTGTTTTAATGCAACTTTTTTCGCTTAATTATTAAAATTAAACAAAATTAAGAAATTATAGGTATAAAAATGTAATTACAATTTTATATAACTGATTTTTTTAACCAATTTTGCAAATGATAGGTAGGTTGACGTCGTTGCAGCGTGTTTTTGACGTTATGATAATCTGTAGCTCTTAAAGAAAGGGGTAATAAAAATATTATTTAAGAAAAAGTAATAAACATACGCACTTGAAATTTAAAACACAGAAATTTGAGAATATCTCTAATATTTTTATTATGTCTTCAAGTGAATCCATTGTGTACGTCATATTTTGTAATACTCTATAAAAATAGTAAACTTTGCTAATTTTTTGCATTTTGAGATGCCCCCTCAGGTAACAAGACGGTAGAATTTTGTGCCTCTTACATATATTGTATAATATAGTATTACTCATCAACTATTATAGTTTGAACAAAATGTCTATTGTAGTATTTGTATTATTTGCTTTAAAGTGCTAAAAATTGGCATTTTCCTATATAATCCTATAGTAAATGTACCTGTATTTTGAGACGGTCCCTCAAAAATACCTGGACGGTAAATTTCCCTGAAACTTTGCATGTACACTGAAGTTAATGTAAGTTATAAATGGTATAAAAATGAAGAGTTTCGCTATTGTAGTTTTCACACAATAAAACTATAGTCGGCCCCCTTAAATGATTATTTATAAATGCAAAGATAGTCTTCTGTTTTGGTTGATGCATTGTTTAATGTCCATAGTGAATTTTTCACTCATTTGGAGACGCCATCATTTGCCAGTGGAGAGCTGCAAATTTTGTCCTCAGGTCTGATTTATCTTTTACGTGCCGGCACGTACCTACTGCGACAAGAAACCTTCATCTATATGATTTCATACAAAGGACCTGTTTCCACGTTCCACAGTGAGACTAAAACCCGCGACTCTAGAGCAGATGCTCTAACCACTGCGCCATGCAGGCAATCATCTGTTTTTGAAGAAAAATCTACCAAACACATGATCACTTTAAAATCTTTTTCAAGTAAAATATCCAAGTATGAAACAGATGTGTCAGACTCTGTCGTATCTTTTATCTCAAGCTCTCCTGGATATATCGTATTGACCTAGGAATGAAAATTACCATTGTTTATTGACAATACCTTGTCGATATATCTGAAGGCCACAGCAAGTGTTTTTTTCTTTTCAGGCGTAAGATTTTGCATAAATTCTGCTTCATATGAATACAAAAATAGGT